AAGGTGGTTTCAGTGGTCTCTCTCTACCTACAGCCTGCCCAGGAGTGGGAGACCTGGAGTCGGTGATCCGGACCCACGTCTCCTGTGAATGTCCACCCGCCTGTTCCCAAAAGCAGAATAAAGCCCCAGGACAAAGGCTGGAGCCGAAGTCCTCCATGTGAGTGCTCCAGCCTGCAGGTAGAAATGCAATCACATTTTGGATACCAAAAATCTTTCCAGCCATGCTACCACGTTGTGCTGCTGCAGGGCCACAAACCACCACGGTGGCTGGGAGCAGAAGATGGGTACCCACGAGGTGGTGCCAGACCGATGCGCAGGGAGCTGCATACCCAGCACACCCCTGGGACATAGCACAGTGCCTGGCAGGTGGGTGGGCTTCGCTTTTTAATTACTTGCCATCCCAGATTTTTGGGTTTTTTATTTGTTTTTTGGTTTTTGGTTTTTTTTTTCTGGAGCTCCAGGTATTTAAAAACCAAATTAACCCACTTTTTGAAAAAAAAAAAATCAAGTGTTAGAGAAGGTAGGGAAGAGAGGAGTTGCTATGGTGTGACCTACCTCCCTGGCCAGGGCAGCCAGCAGCCCCACTCACACGCTGCAAAGCCCAGGCACAAGGCCACCACGATGGACACAGGGACGTTGGCCAGGCGGGCCCTGCGTCTCGCTGCTCATGCGGAGCCTCCGCTGACCACGTGGCACCTCTGGTCTCGGTGCCTCACCGAGCTTGCCGGTCCTGCCGCCCGCCCTAAGGACAAGTCGCGTGGGCAGTAATTCTTCCCACAAATGCTCTTCCAGTCAGGGGTGGAAAACTCCATCACGGGCTATTAAATATGAAGTCCCTGAGCCACAAATCCTGCCCCAGACGGAAGTGCTAGGCTATTTATACACTCCTGTGTAAGAGCCACTGCAGACCTTTGGCTATCTCTATTGCTTTTTGAACGTTTTCCAGTGCAGCTATATCCTTCTGAGACAGGGAGAGCAGAAATGCACTCCCTGAATTATGGATGCGTAGAGAGCCATAATGATGCTCTCCCTTTTATGGGCTCCTCTTTTCCAAATGATTTTAAACACGCGCCTCTCGTTTGAACAGATTTTGGACTCTCTGGTCAAACTGAGCTGTTGTTCTAGCAAGAGAGTGGCTTTGTGCACATGCTAAGACTGTAAAGAGAAGAAAATAGGAAAACCGCACTTATCCCCATTCAACATCACCTGCCATTTAATTATCTGCTTACACAGTATCACAGGTTGTTGTTTACCCTGAATCACTGGTGGTCTTACAACCCTGTGACCTGCATGGGAGGCGGAAGCTGTGATCTGGAGGGTTGCAGAGGCTGACGACAAGCAGCAGGGTTTTGCCCAGCCTGGATGGCTGAATTCTCCCCAAAAATGCTGCTGCATTCTTCCCATCCTCTCTGCTCGCTCCTCTTCAACCTCCTCAGCAGCTGGGGGGAGGGGGAGGAAGGCAGGAGGCAGACAGCATTGGGGTGTGCGAGGAGGTGACCAAGGCTGGGGATGGAGCGATGGTGGTCCTGGCCGTTCCTGATCCTGGAAGGAAGCAGCAGTGGGTGCAGCAGTGCTCCCTGGCCTGGCTCCCCATTCCGCTGCTCACCAGAGCGTGGCTGAGGAGGGCTTTGTCCCTGTGCCCCAGGGGAGCAGCTTGATGGTGCAGGCAGTGGGCAGGGAAGCTTTTCCACCCTCTTCCCCTCCATCCCCCGCACTCCTGGCAAGTGCTAGCCCAGCCTCTGAACTGCCTGGGAGGCCTTGTCCCCTTCCCTGGGGGCTGCAGGCAGGACATTGAGCAGCAGTGGCTTGTCCCTCACTCTCAGGGAGGGGGGGATGAGTGGGACTGTGCACCCAAGGCAGCTCCATCCCCTCTCCACAGAGAAAAAGCCTTATACCAGGAGCAAATTCTTGATGCCCTGAGTTCTTAAAAGCCAGTGTGGTAGCAAACCCTCTGAGGACTGAACCCTTTGTCCTGTGCTGACAGGCTAACACAGAAAAATGCCTCTTTTCCTGTCCTCACCCTTCGGCAAACACAGCCCGTGGGATGTTCTTGGGGCCCCCCAGCCAGGATTTGTGTGGCGGCGTGACAAGCTGCTCGATGAAGGCTTTGAAAAGCTTTGCCTTATCTGCTCATCCTCACCTTCCACCACTGGTCCCAGACACTCGCGGTGCCACCGGGTCGAGGTCCTGCCGCCCTGGGCCATCTGCCTGCCGGCGGTGCTGCTGGTGGCCCCATTTTCCCCTTGCTCCATCCTGAGCACCAGGGCTCAGTCTGCTGAAATCCCCATGGACGTGGGATTACTGGGCACTGTCGTCTGGAGCTCAGATTGCCAGCAAGGTTTTTTGCAGCCCCTCTTGTTCAACTTGATTTTCACAGTCTTAGGCAGAGGACAAAGCTTTTTCTTGTTGTCCACGCAGGAGAGCCTAGCTGAGCATCAGTTAGAGACTTGCTTGCCAAAACACCCAAGGCTTGGTGGCATGAAGCTCACTAGAGAATGTGAGGTGGTGTCTTCAGGGACTGGGCAACTGATTTAACTCCTGGACAGTTCATACTGGGTGAATTGCTTTTACTAGGTGTTTGGGACACTGCCTCGCCCTGCCTGGGCTAGGAGACAGCCACGCTTCTCCGCTCAGCCCAATACTTCAGGCACAACAGAAAAAGAGCAGCTCAAGGGCCTATTAGCAGTCAGGCATGGACTGAGGTGAGGTGCAGTGTACGAGAGCATCGTGGCACGTAAGGACCTTGCAACTCTCCACTGCCACGTCTAGGGATGGAGATTGGCTGGGCTGTGAAAAGAGCCTGCAAGAGAAGGGCTGTCGGTGTCTCCAGCAGCATCACCCCACCACCCTGCACAGGGACAGCAGCTGGTGAACACATTGGCTCAGCCTGCTTTGACCAACTAAAACAGCAGCTGCTGTGACCAGGCAGTTTTGGGGTGTTAGAGCTTTTCTCCAGCCTGCCAGGGGAAACACAGACCCTCCAACTGAGTCCAGTCCTCGTGGAGCAGCCCTTGCCCTCCACCCACCTCCTGCAGCCTTTTGCAGACCCTGCTGCTTGGTGGCGATCCTGCTCGGCCCAGTAAAGGGGCCAGTAAGTGCTGGGGGAACCACTGGCAGGAGCTCCTGGAAGGGCTTTACTCTCCAGGTGCCACCACTGAGAGGTCCCCATCAGCAGCTTTAGACCTGCTTGTTGGCGAGGGGCTTGGGTTTGGGAGGAGAGGGAGGGGGACAGACATAGAAACCTTTGGGAAGAGGGCAATATTAAATTGGACCTTGCTGGGTAGAAGCCAACCCTGCTTCAAGTGGATCCTCTCACTGGACACAGCTTTGTGAAAGCCGTGGCAGCATCCAGACCCAGGAGTAACAGCCTGGGGGGCAGGGGGGCTGGGGAGGGGGCAGGCCTGCCCTGGTGACCTTGACCCCCACCTGGTCCCATCTCCTATGAAGGACATGTGGCCCCACATGCTCCGAGCAACAGGCTCTACCCTGGACCACTTCTGCCCTCACCAGCCCAGCCAACATCCCCCGGCGCAGGAAAGCAGGGGCCCAGGCAGCCAGGGAGGAACAGAAAGCAAGATCCTTTATTGTACACAGTACAGAATGTAATGCAGCTTTGCAGGAGATACATAGCCCTGCTCGAGTACAGATTATTTCAAATCAGTCCTCAGATTAACCCCTTCTGCACTGTAGACGTGCCACACCAAGAAAATTGTTAAAACCCTGTCCCCCAGGTGGGGTTCCTGTAACCGAATGCTCCCCACAGGTACAGGCCACAGCAGCCACCGTGGAGAGAGCAACCAAGTCTACCCAGAGTTAATCTTCATACTTCCCCAAAAAAGAAAAAATCAGTCAAAAAAAAAAAAAAAAAAAAAAAACAAAACAAACCCAACTAAGAAAAAGAAAAAAATTTC